TTCCAGGAGGCGGTAGGACTGACTTAGAGGAGACCGATTGAACAAGAACTGAACATCTTTTTTTTTTCCTTTCACTATTAATTCTTACAATCTACAAGCCTTACTCCAGATACGGAGACAAACCCTACAGAGACACTTGAAGTAACTAAGTGGGTTTCAGAGTATGAACAACAGATATATTAATTTTCCTGTTCTTTCATTTTTTTCCTATACGTACGTGCTCCATGCTAATGACTTAATTTGTTTTGTGTAAATCTGTCAATTTTACGTTGTTATAAATACAATCTTTTTTTGTAACGGGTCACGGGTTGAGTGTGGGGAATTTCTTGTGGGCTGGAGGTCGGATCGATAATTGGGTGGAGTCTCTGCTGCCAATCTCCTTGTCGAACTTAGTGATCTAAGAGCAGGGGTCTAGATTGTCCTTAAGGCCGGGGCAAGATGCGAGTGTTGCCCAGGGTTACATTTGCACCTGTTTTCACCTGTATTTAGGCAGCGTCCTCCCACCAGGACGCTGCCAGATTGTTCTAGACTCCAGCTCTGACTCTTCAGCATTTTTCGGTTTTGGTATTTTGTGTTTTGACCCGGATCATATACTTTGATAATTCTGTTCTGCCCTGCCCTCTTGTTTCGGACTGCTGCCCTGTGTATGAATTATCGGACTTTCCCTTTGGACTACAAACTTTGGATTCCCTTTGCCGTATGTGTTTGCTGGCTCTGACTGTGGACTGTATCATCACTCTGTAAGTGTGTTTTGTGTGTTCACCGTGCCTTGTCTCATTTTTGTTAAGCGTTAGTGCTCTTAATAAAGAGACGGTTATTCACATATCCTCGTCTGGCAATTTAATAGAGTTCACCCACGACATTATCGGCAGCGTCACGCGCCGAACCTGACATCCTGTTGATTCAAATTACTTCAATACCATCAAGTATCGAAAAATGCTTATCTTCATTTTTATTTATTGATGTTAATGTTAACAGAACTTAAGATTGAGCACACAAAGATGCCAAGGAACTGAAAAATAAAACTAATGATTTGTACCAAAATGTGTAATGTATTTATTTTTGTTGATTTTATAAAATTGGTATAAAAAGTATCATTTAGGAACTGGTATTGAAGTCAAGAAGAAGCTTTTATTTTATTGTCATTGTAACATGCACAACAAAATTTGGCTTGGAGCAGAGGGCCCTGGGCCGCTGTGTGCCTACGCGCCACAATCATGGGCAACTTGGGGGGTTCAGTGTCTTGCCCAAGGACACTTTGCCATGTGGGCTGCAGGCACTGAGATTTGAACCCTCAACCTTCCGGCTGGGAGACAACTGTTCTACCCACTGCCCCACTGTCACCCCCAGGTATCAGTACTGAAAAGTTTGGGATGATAACCAGCCCTACACAGAAAAAAAACATTTGAACGCAGACGTCCAAGCAGTAAATACTCCACACCACTATGCCCATAAAAGTCCAGTGAGTAAAATACAGCCAAGGTTTACTCCAATAAACATGATGTCATGAAGAAAAAGTCCACAAACCTGACTGGTTTGATCAAAAGGGTTGCAAAACAGAAACCTTATTTTAAGCCTGTGCACTAAAGTGGAGGTGTCAACTTTAGCGGTTAAAGTATAGTAAAATAAAGCACTTTGGCTTGTTTGTAATGGGAATCACTCACCATCATGGGGAAGACAACGGCAGCAGCCGTGGCCTTGATGGCCCAGAGGACGACGAGGCAGGACAGCTGCACCACAGTGAAGACGTGGACCTTCCACAGCGGGACGTAGCGCAGGTAGATCAGGTCGGGCTGGTGTTTGGCCGGCATGCCAAACAGTTTGATCCGGTCAAACAGCTGCAGAGAGGCAGAACAACAGATGGATGACAGAAACAATGCAATGAAGCTGCAGCAGGACGAACAGATGAACACAGAGACAGACCTGAATGCCTTTTAGCGAGGACACTCCCATGTAGAGGAAGACTCCGTACAGGACAGGCATTGGGATGTACTGAAAGACGAGGAAAGAATTACGCTCAAGCATCTTTAAAGAAATTTCCATGTACAACTACTGAAAGGTTACTGCTCCTCTTTTTAACTTACGACTGACTTTTTTTAGTCTCTGTGTTCTCAACTCTGTAGATTTAGTCTGATTTGTATATGCTGCTGTCCTGCTCTATAACAGAGGCTATAACAGAGGTATTTATCCTAAACGGGTTTCCCTGGTTAACAACCCTGAGGTCCCCTTCAAAGGGGACCCTCGGGCTGAACGGAAAATACAGGAATGCTATGCAAGTTGTGATAGCCGACCCCAACAATGTATACATCAAAATGTTCAGCGAAACCTCGGCTACAACGTCATATAAACCATTTTTCCACACAATAAACACAGCAAAAGCAATAAAGCACAATAAAGCAACATCTCAGGTCCACTAGGGGGCGCTCTGCCAGGGCATACGATTCATATTTTGTCATATTTTACCGACTATAATCCATCAAAACACCGCTAGCCACGGCTCAAAACAAAGCCCACACTTCACAGATTCCATAAATGCATCGGTAAAAACGTAAAAGCGTTACAGAGATACAAGCCAACAAACTTCAACAACAGACATCGATTCGCGAAAAGTAGAGCGAAATTTCTCATCGTACCTTTGATGTTTTTATTCAGAAAAATAAGTTTTTCGTCGTTGCAAACACTGCATTTCCTGACTCACAAAATGGCGTCGGTTTGGAAAATACCATTATTTTGAAGTTAGGAGGGTTCTGGCTGGATAGAAACAGGTTTACATTGGTGCTGGCCAGAAGCCCCCCTCCCCCTATGGTGCGGTCTTATCGACTGCCATTGGTCCACGATGCTGTCAATAAGGCCAGAAACTCGATAGCCTCATTCTATAGGTCGAGAGGAATCCAATGAGGGGTCATTTGTCTGTATGCGGAATTCTGGGACCAAGCTATTGTCCTGCAAATGAGGAGAGCGTCAGCCCTGGCTGTGCCGTGTTCCATCTTTATTTACTCTTCAAAAACAAAACATCGAAAGGTATTTACACCTCCTGACAAATCTCACAAGTGTTCCCTTTCGTTTGACACCGAAAGTAACCAAATACACTGTGTGGCTGCGGAGATATACACATTTTATTTCGGGGAGGCGCCGTAGATTTAAATTCCCAAAACAGGTGCCGGGACAGCTGAATAAATAAATAAAATACTGTAAAGGCATTTTAAGTATTATTTGAAATGCTGATAAACTGGGGAAGATACTGTGAAATAATCATAAATGTTGAGTTTGATAAAGTGTAAATGTTGAAATATTAGTAAGAGTCGAAGTAAATACTAATTAATGTAAATACTGAAGTTAGTTGAAGTATAAATGCTTCAACAGGTTTCTGCTGAAGTGAAATACTGTAATGTTGGTGTCAAAGTACAAATCTGAAGAGTTAGTGTCAGTTGAAGTAAAAATACTTGAGCTTTAACTGATGGACACACACAGACACACAATGTTTGAAATGTAAATGCTGCCAAGTTAATTTCATAAGTTTATATCCAGACAGTTTCAGCTGAGGTATAAACATTGTAAGTCTGTTGAAGAATGAACACAGTGAACTTAGTGGTATCTTAAATGTAAATACTGACAAGATACAGTAGTTGAACCTCCAGCAGGCTCACAGACAAACATCTATCTTTGTGAGGACCACAGCGGCAGCACTCACCTTGAGGATGGAGGTCATAAAGACGGAGCAGCCCATCAGGACAAAGATCATGAAGCCAGTGACTCTCTGCTCTCTGATGCCCAGGAACTTTGGCTGCTCGCCGGGCGCCGCACAATCTGACTCCAGCTTCAGACTGTTGACGTGTGAGATGGAGAGCACAGTCGCCGCCACGAACCACGGCAGGCCCATGATGGAGCACACGCCCAGCATCACGGCCACTACCAGCAAGTCCAGGTGGTAGCCACAGCCTTTCTGCAGTGAGACACACACACACACACAGGGAGGGAAGGATTATCATTGAGATGCTCTATCAGAGACAAGCCTGTCAGCCCCAGCAGTCAGTCGTCCAAACCTTGAGCTTGTTCTCCTTCCTGTTGATGATGACGGTGGAGATCTGCTGGTCCATAAAGATGAGGATGGTGCAGAGTAGAGCTGGGATGGTGGCAGCCAGCAGAGTCCACCAGGGATTCGGTCCCAGAGGGGAGATCAGCCACCCTCGAGTGTTTGACGTGGGCTGAACGGACACAGACAAAACAGCAGCGGTAGATATCAACACACTGCCCTTGGTTAGAGCTTACAAAGTGGCCGAAGCTTTTGCCTAGTATATGTGGAGTCACTCCATTTCTATTTGCATTTCAGCTGCTTTACTGAATCCATTTCATTGGAACACCATGTTCTTTGAAGTGGTTCTACTTTCAGCAGCAGATGAATCCGCATTTTGTCTCCAGTGTAGAGGCACCAGGACGGCGTGTGTGTGTCCATGGTGACGGAGGAACATGTCAGCCAGTGTAACACTGTGGCCGCTGATGGGTCAATGGTGTTTGGACACAGTGGAGCTCTGTGGCCCAGAACGAGGACAGAGACCAGGCTCTAACCACTCGTTCTAATGAGCTACACAGCCTCATGAGAGCATTTCAGTGGCTCCAGTTGTATTCTTCATTTAAAGTTGAATTAAATGGAGAAAAATATACTGACGGTAAAGCATGTGTGTGGATAAGTTTAGGAACAATGTAAAATCATAGTATGTTACTGTGCATTTAGGAATTTATGATTCAGCTTCATGAAAAATCATAACTCACCAGCAGTGGCCTTTAAAATAAAGAAATCAACAATATCTAAAATACATAAACTATTAGTAGAGGCATATTCAGGTGACACTGTTTTACAAGACAAGTCAATTCTCTGTGTATCTGATACAGAAGCTGTGATTAGCTACTGTCACCTCACTGCTTTTGTTTTCAGCATCAGGCTAATCAGACAAACAGAAACTTGAATTAACCTGAAGATAACGGAGCAGCAGCATTATAACACATTAGCCAAAAATAGATTTAAAAAACAAAATAAATAGAAGTCACGCGAGGCTAACATCTGCTGAGGAGGTGTCTCGTTCAACCAACCGAACATCTGATTTAACATCAGGAACCAGAGTGAACTGCTATAACCCTAAATGTGTTAAAGGACAGTTCCAGCATTTTTGCATTACACGTCCCATTATGGTTAAACCCCGACACAGAAACGTACCTTTACTGTTGGTACACAACATACTTTGTAGCAGTGTAATGGTGGAGCCATGGAGCCGGGCATTACCTTAAAGCTGTCGGGTACATGCAGTTTGGGTGAAGGAACCCCCACCAGATAGTCCACCAGCACCATGACCATGATAGTCAGGAACACAGCAAAGTCACTGATGGTCGATCGAACCTGCATACATTTTTCACACATGGTTTAGCCTCAGTGATATCAATGGGATGGACAAAATAACAAACAACAGCAGCACAACCTGCAGCCTCCGCAGTGGTCACACATGTGAATCCACACCTCTGTGACACAGGTTGGACACAAACTGAACATCATCACCTTCATGGAGGAGGTTAGACTGACAGGGGTTCCTAATAAACTGACCGCTGAGGCGTTATACTTGTGGCTCATTCCTGATCGTACAACAGGAAAATGGCGTTTGCATGCACACAAACTATATTTTAAAGAGATGTTTTTATCAGGCACAACTCTGGCACAGCGTTACAGCCAATCATAGTTCATCTTCTCCTGGAAGTGATTGGCTGGTTTTATGGCACATCTGTAACGTTGTGCCACAGATGAGCGTGCACAGAGCTGAGGTGTCGAGAGAGAGGATGAGTGTACAAAGCTCGGCAGTTTGTGAGAAGGTCAGCGGGTGAAGCTGAGCCGCAGAGGTTAGTGATGCATATTTATACAATGCAAACACACTAACTACAGTACACATTTTGCTTTGCTTCAAATACATTATTCTTTTTATGATAATATAAACTGTGCATGCAAAAAATGTTTTCCTGTGCTCAGAATGTGTGCACTCAGAAAGCACCCACTAACTTAACACAGACAACTGGGTGTGTGTCACTGCAGAAAACAGACAAGTGTCATTAAAAACACTGCATCTATCTTCACCATTTGTTTTCCACATATTCTGTGTGCGTGTGTGCGTGTGTGTGTGTGTGTGTGTGTGTAGACAAACGGACCTTGGTAGGGAAATAGCTTTTGGTCTTGAACTGTTTGAGGAAGGAGGAGAGGAAGAAGGTGGTGAAAAAGAGGATGACAGACCAGAAGAGGACGTCGGGGACGTAGGGACTGTGATGGCTGCAGGCCGAGCCGAAAAACTCCCCATGTAAATCCAGACACTCCTGGAGGCAGATGGAGAGGGATCAGTAACGTCAGAGCTGAGCACCACTGAGCTGCAGTTCCTCTAACGCCTGTTTAACTCACACTGTACAGAAGTGAATGAGAAAAACCTCCAACTTCTCTCTTCCTCGACAAAGACGGTGGTGAGTGAGAAAAACCAAGCTCCAAACTTTAACACCTCTGATGTCACTGCATCGTCAATTTATCATGGCTGCAGCTCACAATTACTTTTGTTATTGAATAGTTTTCCTTTATTCAGTTAATCAGTCTATGAAACATCAAAATATGGTCACACAGTGCCCTTCACAACGTGAACATCTTCAGATGTCTGGACCTCTCACTTGAGATGCTAAATTCAGAGAATATCTGGCATTGTTTCGCTACTGTTGCTTGAAAAATGACTGAAACAATCAATTACTGTAGACTGATTTGTGGTCTGAGTCACTAACCATGTGCTAAAACTAAATTTCTGTTGTAGTTTTTTTTCTGTTGGAATGTACTATGTACCTTCTTAATGTACTTTTATCTACAGGCTCAGTTCAGATTATTTAACTTCGGTTCAGTAGTTCAAGTGCACAGAGACTGACAGTGCTCTTTGCCACTGGACCTTAGACAGTCAATACTAGACTTATCACAACCAGATAATGACATCTACTCTGTTCCTGTGTAAACATTACCTCCATCATGAAAAAAAAAAAACAAAAAAAAAACCTGAACACATTGTTTCTCGCGTTTGCTGCTGTCCTCCTTTGTAATCGTAACCAAGTACAGTACAGCATAAAATGGTACTTTCACTGTAGCAGAAGCCTGAACACCAAGTAAAAGACCAAGAGCCTCTGAACTGGTGAAAGTAAAGAAAGGCAGATCCAAGTCAGACCTTCACGCTCAGCTGCTCCCACTGGATGTTTTCTGAGGTTATGTTTTTGTTGCTCCAAATGTTTTGGACTTCAGCAGAGGCATTGGCAGGTGGAGAACACTGACACCTGAAACATTCAACAGTAAAGACATTAAAAGGAAACCTGCAGAGCTTATTACTACTGCTACATTAAACTACGATGGGCTTTGCTGATTTGATTCAGTGAACCCTTTAGAGCCAAATGATCCCAGGACATTTTAGCAAAACAATAATTGTCATTTTATTCAAATTTTCACAGGTTAATGTTTAAACACACCTGAAGTTCGTCTTTCTGCACAGCTGCGGTCTATAAATACGGCAACATTTCAATGTAATGATTATTTTTGAAAGTTACAGACACTAATGTCATACCTCAAACGTGAGATAGTGTACATAGTGTTTCTGGGGCTACAACCAACAGATTTTCATTAGTGATCATTCTGCCGCTTATTATTTGATCAAAAACAGTGACAAGCATCTGTCAATGTCACAGCAGAGTCTTGTACTGATTAGTTTTCTCTGAGCCATAGTCCAAGACCCAAAATTTTCATTTTATTACAATTTAGGGCAAAGAAAAGCCACAAAGACTCAATTTTAAGATGCTGGGACCATTTGTGAATGAGAAAAGGCTTAAATGGCTGATTATCAAACTGGCTGCAGAAGAATTTTCGACTGACTAAATGAAATGACTAATGGTCTAAGCTCTAAAAGACAACACCAGCGGTTTATTTGCATGCTGTCCTGAACAAACAGCACCATGCCATGTTATCTGCCTTTTATTTGCCTTTCCTTTCATGTAGACATCATGTTGTAGTTGTGCCTGGTACTAATGGATCTTGTTTGCAGAACACCAGTACAAGGTCTACAAGACAGACCAGTTAGTTTTCCCTTACGTGTAGAAGGTCAGGTTGTCCAGCTCCATGTGCATGTTGATGGGGTAGAGCTCCCCGAGATGGACCAGCTTCTCCAGAGCCTCGTAGATGAAAATGATGCAGATCAGGGCGGCAAATGCCTCCTCGGTGAAGCGGGTGATGTAGCAGACCAAAGAGCTGGCGTCAGTAGCGACCAGCAGCAGGCAGAGGAAGGCTGTCCAGAGTCCAATACTGGTCCTCAGAGACAGGTAGCACAGGCCGTGTTCACTGAAGACAACCAGCGAAGACAAGGAGGGTTACGTTAGCGTCCTTTAAAGGTCCATGTTTAAAATGGCTGTAGATCGGTATACCTTTCCCAGTCGTCCATTAGCTGTATGGTTCCTTCCAAACAACTTTCAGTTCAGGTAAAGGTAAACGAGGCAATGCGGGTGCAAACAGCTATTTTGTTTCCCAGCTGTTGATACCTTCATTTGACAGCTGAGATTTAAGAGCTGGATGCTGAACACAAATATGTCTAGCTTTAGAAAAAGTTACCTTTATACTTTTCAAATTCCATGTGCAGACTCAACCCAACACTCCTCCTGACATGTCCTGTGTGTCCATCACAGTCTGCTCTCTTCTCCCTCCACAATGTCCAGACACCATTAAACCCATCAGTGACACACTGCTGCACTGGCTGAAATGTTCCCTCTTCACCACAAACACACACTGGAGTGGATTTCTGATTCAGCCCCACACACACCGTCATGCTGCATTCACCGTTTCCTCTAGTGGGATAAAAACTACAATGAGCTGCTGTTTTTGGAAAACCTTTGGGAGACTTTCTTTTATTCATTTCATTTTCTACCGTTTGTTCCCTGAGCGGGGTCACAGGGGCCAGAGCCAATCCCGGCCGGCAATCGGGCGAAGGCGGGGTACACCCTGGACAGGTTGCCAATCCATTGCAGGGCTAACACTTAGACAAACAACCACACACACGCACTCCTATGGGCAATTTTAGAGACACCAATCAACCTAAGCTGCATGTCTTTGGACTGTGGGAGGAAGCCGGAGCACCCGGAGAGAACCCAGGCAAGAACATGCAAACTCCACACAGAAAGGTCCCAGGTGGGGCCCGAACCTGGACCCTTCTCGCTGTGAGGCAACGGCGCTAACCACTGTGCCACCGTGCTGACTTTCTTTTAATGAAACTAAAAATGCCTTACAATATATAAAGATTAATGTCTAAAGTAGGAACCAACAGACTTGATGAGAGCTGACGTAATACTGTGTTGGTTTGGATCTGAATATGAGGAGCTGACAGCTGGTCTGTGGATCCTTACTGTCCATCCTCAATGAGCTTTTACTGAATAAGGTGGTGTACACTGGTGAACAAAATGCCAAACAGCACAGAGAATACAGAAAGGAATTCCTGGAGCTGTTATGAGTGAGCTAACAGTTAGTTCTCGAGCTAATAGTAGCACTGTGAACAGCCACCATCACCAAACTCTGTGTGTTAGAGCCCATCTGATGAAGACAGTGGAGCATTTAGCAGCAAAAGAGCCAGGCAGTTCCCTCAGGAGGTGGTAGAGACTAAACACAGAGCTAAAAGTTGTTTTTGTTATTGCAGGTTTAATGTTAGGTCTCACTAGTGAAGTACTGGAAGTGGAAATTAAATGTTATTGTGATGCAGATGATGCTCTGTAGAGCAGAGCCTCCCTGCTGGCCTGGATTCAATAATCAGTGACCTGTAAGAGAAACTAGGGACAAACAAACTAAGGTCATCGACCACAGAGATTTAGACTCTATGAGTGGCAGCAGCCCCCATCCTCCTCATTCATTCTCATCAGACACCATGTCTCGCTGTCTCCCCGTCTTGCTGCTGCTGGTCCTGGCCTGCCTGGCCTGGCTCGGGTCAGCTCTGCCTGTCGACAGCCTGGCTGAGCTGAAGAAGGTGCAGACCACCCTGGAGGAGCTGAAGGCCGAGAGACGAGGTGAGACTGCATCTCTGCTCACACTTCTCGGTTTTATTCCTCCATTGTGAACAGACAGGAGAGCGTTTATGTCCATTAGAGTTAACTGTGAGTCACATCCAAAAAATTCTTGTACAACCAGCAAAGGCTCACCAAAGCTGGACAAAGCTCACTGATGCCCAGTATGTTTTTAACATCCCATGGCTGCTCATTTCCAGCCATTTAATGTTTAATCTTGGGTACCTCTAGATTATCTTGGCACCCCTCATAATTCCAAATAATCTGTACCAGAGAGCCTCTTCCTAAAAATGAGAGGATAGTTCATGAACATGCACCTGTTGCCAGGGTTGTGTCGAAAGTGGACAGCACAACAAACTGCAACGGCATTAATTAATTTAAATTTCTCCTCCATAGATACTGTAGGTAAACAGTAGCGTATGTACCCATGAACAGAGCTGTGTAACACTCTAAACAAGGCTGGTGGTTCAGAAACCCCATATTTTAACTGTCATAGAAGTACTAGAACATATGTACACCTCCTTTTTGAGCTTTAGGTAACATCTAAGATGATAATTCACCATTGTAACATTGTAGATAAATCAGAGGACAAGGAAAATCTTCATGGCTCTGTAATGTTTTTCTCTTTACACTGACAGCAATGAACCAACGTCTAGAGACGGCTGAGAGTGAACTAAAGAGTGTGAGAGGTGAGAACTCTTACACTTTAACTTTTTCTTTTTTTTTTAAAACCTTTATTTATTCAGGGTAGGTCCATTGACAGGCCGCCTCTCTTTTGCAAGATGCCCTGTTCACTGTACAGTACAGAAGCACTTCATAAACACTTTAAGGCAGATGTTTTTTTGTTGTTGTTTTTTTTATGTATCATAAATACACTGGTATGGTTGGTCCGTCCAGGGTGTACCCCATCTCTCGCCCACTAACGAGCAATATAAACATTTTATAAATATTATAAGGAAGGTGCAAGTAGATGTGGACATTAATCATTGAGTGTATATAAAACTGGACAAACCCACCGTGACATCACCTACAGTTTACTGAAGAGTGGTTTTAAAGCTCAAGTCTGGCTGTCGCCATACTGGGAGTGCTTCACTCCGCCTGCTACATCTAACCCAAAAATGGGAAAAGAGGCAGAGCATGAGTGAAGCTCTCTAAACAGCTAGCGGCCAGCCACCTATAGCGGGACCCTCCCACCTGCCACTCAAAGCAGCCACGCCCTTCATTATGCACAACTTTTTGTCTCAATATAATTTGAACACGCAAGTTATTTAAAATTACCTACAGTTTTCATGGAAGGGGAAATTAGCTACAGCGATCAAAACCGTTTTTTGTACCAGGCTATAATATGTTTATATCTGCTGTAAAGTCAGGCATTTTAACCTGGAAGTCTATGTTAAGTCAGACATATAGTGAATCGCTGTGTATTAAAACAGCTGAAATAATAAAATATATCTTCACTGGAAAAATAACCTTTAACAGATGCTGAACATTACTAACCACGTACAACTACTTTATGGTATAATATAACCCATTTATTAAATGTTTGTATGCTTATTAAATCTGAAATAACCTATCAAATAGATGACTAGAAAAATATCTCTTGTACAGAAACGCCTAAAGTTGCGTTCGCTGCCTCACTGGGAGGAAACGGCCTGGTGAAGGCGGGCTTTGAATCCAAAAACCTAATCTACACGGAAGTCCTGACCAACGTGGGTGGGGCTTACAATGCTGAAACAGGTAGGAGGTGCCTGAAGTCTTGTTTCAATCCACTGCAGTTGCGTGAATATGAGCTGATTGAGTGATGGAGACAAACAGCTGGTGGAGCTGATTCTGTATTGCATTCACTCACCAAGTCTGAATGGAAAACGGTTTCAAACTGCCACTTTTTGTGTGATTTTATGAATGGAAACAGCTTCCTCAGTACAGTAAATATAAAAAAAAGTTTGATCTGCTGTGTGCCTTTTATTTTTAAATCAACGCCTTTCCTTTGTGAATTTCTTATACAAACTAAAAGCTACACTAATTATCTGTGTGTCCATCTGGTTTATTTCCACACACCAAAGTCTGCATCTCAGACAACAGAAAATGCTTATTCTTACATTTTGATTCTTTTCTCATTTCTGTCATTTCCACTGGGTTTTCTAATTCTCAAATTAAAATGTGAATAAAAACAGGTTGATAGAGACATACTGTACTTCATGACAAACAGTTGTTTCTTGGTCATGGTGGTGATTGAATCAGTGAGACCCTTTGTATACCCTCCAGGTGAGTTCACTGCACCTGTCCGTGGAGTCTACTACATCCGCTTCACAGCCAACGCCCCCACCAACTTCCTCATGAGTGCTGTGCTCTACAAAAACAATGCAGTCCAGCTGATTGTCCACGAGCAGCCGTCTGGCGAGGGCAGTGACACGGCATCCAATGGTGCTGCCCTGCTGCTGGAGCGGGGTGACAAGTTGAAGCTGATGCTGTGGCCCAACACTCAGATCTGGGACAACAACAACCACCACAGCACCTTCAGTGGCTTCCTGCTGTACCCCATGTGAGGACGACTCGCAAGGGTTTATAGGATACTACTTGTACTACTACAAGTATCTCTACTAATATTACTACCATCACCAACAGAAACCGACTTCAGCAGCCTCCTGCTGTTCCCCATGTGAGGGTGACACCGAGAGTTTATAGTACACTACTATGAACACTATTACCATTTCTCAACAATGCTAATACTCCTATGACTCACAATGATGCTAATATTGCTACTATTACCAATGACACTACTACTAATGCTACTGCTACTAACAAATCTAATACCACTACTACCAACAACAGTAACAAGAAGACTACAGTACAACAATCACCAACAATGCAACTTCCACCACTACTACCAACAGACACCTGAAAGCAGACGTCTTTGTGTTTTCAGGTTACAGGGTGGATGAACCACAACAGAGTATTATTATTAGTACAGTGTAGTTTCCACAACACTACTACAACCAACACCACCAACAGCACTACTACTGATAATAACGACTTCCTTATTTGAACAGCATCCACATAGACTCCTGAAGGCTGACGTTTGTTTTTGTGTGCTACAGGATGGATGAAGCTCCAACAGAGGTTGGCGTCGAAGCAGAGCTGAAAATTCTTCAGGCTTCACTAAAGCAGCTTCAGACTGAAAACGAGGGTAGTACTCGCACGTTATTTACTTCACACATTAACCTTCGTGGTTAAAGCATTTGCTCCCAGTACTGTACCGCTGTGGGTGACTGCTCCTGGTGGCAGCTGGAGCAGCTGCTTACTGCGGATGTTTCTGTTGGATGGTTGTGACCGTGAGAGATTAACAAGTGCTTCTGAATACATTTGTTTAATGTTCAGTCACCTTTTCCTCAGTGTTTGGTGTGCAAATTTGTTCATAAGGCACTGAAATTAGTGATACGAAGGCATCACCAACGCTACTGGTGCTTCTGGGATTAACATTTAAACGGCACAGTTTCTCAGTGGAATCTGGAAAAACACGCTGCTGACAATGATATTTTTAAGTCTAGCCGTTATTCTGTAATTCAGATGCATTAATAAACACATCTAACATTTTGGTGTATGAATAACCTGCCCTCTTAACAGATCTGTATATATGCTGTATAATGTCCCAGATTTAATATGTACACATAGCCTCACTAGTACAAACACAAATTACACAAAATAGACATTTGCATCAGTTCACGTCAGTGTAAACACAGTGCACCTGACTCAAGCAAACAGCCTGGAATCCAGGTACAGTACAATGGTTTTATTGATCATGTTGATTTTCTCCTCCATGCTTTAGAAAATGCAAAGACATTATGAAAAAGGTATTTAATTAAAAGGCCCAGCTTTGACTTTTTTAGATGTCATTTGTCATGTTTTGATTTAAAAGAAGAGCAGAGAATAAAATCTATGCAACTTTCCGCCGTGCTCCGTTCACCTGTTCGTACCCTTGTGTTTGTAGGTGTCAAAGAGAGACTGGAAGCCACAGAGAGGGAGCTGAAGGCCATCAAAGGTTTGTCACCTCTTGAAATGTTTCCCCTCAATCTAACAGGTCTCTGTGACGTTTTCTAAGCCTCTGCACATTAACAGTAATCCTCTGAGTCAGGCAACACACCTGTTATCTTTTCGTCTTGGCTGTAAAATCTGCTATCAGCTGCCACTTTATGATACCATAAGGATTTAATAGCAACAGTAAACTATTGGCTGTCAGAGGGATGCACTGACACACAAATCAAGAGCCTCTCAACGTTTTCTGGGTTTTACCTGCGGTTGATGAGCGCAGGGGCGCTCTCCTGTGGACAGCATCAGTCCCTACAACAGTGGCAGAAACACAGCTGAAGCTGCTCTTTCACTTGTCATATTCTAATACAATATTCAATTGGCCCAGCCGGCCTGGCCCAGTGTCAGCAGTGGTGTTTTTAAAAGGACCATATCATAATGGCAAAGACAAAGAAGAATAACAGCATTTAAATAATTCCTGTTACTCTAGAAAATGTACTGTGAACTGTTTTCAGTGAAATTATTTCAGTGTAAAGAAGCTGAAATAACAAAAACAGTGAAGGGTGATGTCTATAGGTCTCGTAGATGAGTCAGCACCTGCTCCTCGACTAGGTACTGCTGTGTTTTTGTCATTTTTGAGTGAACTGAGCTTTGAAGGATTTGTTCTGTTAAACTGGGCCTGTGTTTCATTTTCTTTTAAGAAGATTATAAATAAAACAAGCAAATTATTGGTTCAGATTTTGTTTCGTGCCTAAAGCCAGAAGAGGCTTCTCAGAATATTATCGTTTATATTAAAGTTTCAGTTCAAATGCATACAGCACACAGGGATAACGTTTAAACTCTGAGCAAAACAAGTACATCCTACACAAAGGACATTTGAAATGAATTAATTTTTAAATCTACAAATTCCATCATGTGATTTTGTGCTAACAAAACCCATGAAAATCTGAAGTTTGTCGTTTTGTTTTTTTACCCAGACGTACCAAAGGTGGCGTTTGCTGTCTCGCTCGGAGATAATGGTCTTCAGAAGACGACAACAGGAAGCAGAGTCCTCATCTACAAGGTCGTCCTGACCAATATCGGAGAGGCGTACAACTCTGAGACAGGTTGGTGATAAACGCACCGCGGCGACCACCGTACTTCAGCTTTCATATTTTACAAACATCAACTTTTTGTTAAAATACTTCAAAATGCTGTTTTTTAATTTGCTGTTTCATTGCATTTTGAGGAGGCGCATGTCTGAAGCTTTTTGTTGAGTTTTAAGTATTGTGACTAGGTTTAGGTTTTACTCAGCATTTCACTGACTTTAGATTCGACAGTTAAAGTAGATCCTGCACTAATCACTAATCACAATTCAGGTGTCAGTAGTTGAGTTTCCACCCAAATGTTGTGCAGACTTTCACATACCAGCTGGGTTCTAGTTAAACCAGTGAACAGAAGTTCATTCTGCATCTCTGTGAATTTCTTGTTATCTATATTTCTATGTTAGATTCAGCCTGACACTTCCATACTTTTGACTTTTGTTTTGGATTTTTGTTTTATGTTCTTAAGGGTTATAGTGAATTATTAGAATATAACCTGACTTTAGTTGCATTTATAAATATTTCTAACAATGGGACAAATATTTCTGACTTATGCTTCAGTAATTTTGTCCCTTATCTCCTGCCACAGCTCACTGTGCATTAACCCTTTCTCCTCCAGGTGTGTTCACTGCACCTGTTCGTGGAGTCTACTACATCCGCTTCACAGCCAACGCCCCCACCAACTTCCCCATGAGTGCTGTGCTCTACAAAAACAATGCAGTCCAGCTGATCGTCCACGAGCAGCCGTCTGGCGAGGGCAGCGACACGGCATCCAATGGTGCTGCCCTGCTGCTGGAGCGGGGTGACACGCTCTCCATACGGCTGTGGGACAACACTCAGATCTGGGACAATGACAACCACCACAGCACCTTCAGCGGCTTCCTGCTGTTCCCCATGTGAGGAGTCCACAGAGACCTTCACATCTATATTCCTGCCCTGATAAAGTGTGACTGAAAGTCATCTTTGGAAGCTTAGTCCAAATAAAAAGGAAAACTCAGCTTGTTCAAGTTCCTTGAATTATTCAAACACAGCGTCTCTTTCGGTTTCATTAAGATATCTGCAGTGTAACAACAACCTGGGGTGGAAAGTGACACAGCTGATTGAGTTTCTCATTTTAAAACAGAAAAAATACTTAATTTTTGTAGCTGAAGGTGGAGCTATTGCATCAGTAATCATACAAAAATGTCATAACAATATAACACTCACAGTGGCCGTTACTTTTGATACATGAAAGGATAAGGTTGGTCATTTTCTATATTGATAGTGTTCAGCAATCTCCATACAGACTACCACTGAAAACTGAACTGCCTCTGCTCATGGTTAATGTCCATCAGTCCTGGATCAGCTTGTTCTTCTGTGCCGTAGACCTCCGTGGTTGTTCAGAAACAATTAACACCGTGACACGTTTGTTCATTACAAATCCGCAGACCCAGCTATGTTGTCCCAAAGGCTCTGAATGGCCATAATCATCTGCGACTGTGCAAGATCTTTCGCATCTTCTCTGCTTTGTTTACCTTCCATCAGCTCGTCACGCTCAGGTCTGGCGTTTATTAAACCAGTTCTACACTGTGATTTAAAATGTGTGTTACGATACAAAAAAAAGAAGCCCAATATAATCTACTGGGGGAAAAAAAAGGATTTTATGTCAGTTTACAAAACATGTTTTCATCACAAAAACCCAGCAGAAAAATCCCCAGTGCCTCTGAAAGCTCCAGCGCACAGTGTCGCTCAGGCCAACTACACAGCTGCTCCATGATGATCCAAGACCTCTCTGGCTCCAAAAACACCCCAGTCTGATTCTGCTCATTGGTTGGTTTCAGCTGTTATTTAACTACATTTATTGGAACACATCCAGCTCATATTCAGTGACACTAATAAAGGAGGTGTGCCAGTTTGAATTCACACCACTATATCCAGCAGGGGGCACCAACACTTGATATAAAAGTCCTGCAGTGAGGATGCTAAATAAATGGCAGCAGGGGAAGAAGTACTCAGATCCTTTACATAAGTCAAAGTACAAATACAACAGTGTACAAACACTCAGAGTAAAAGTACTGCATTCAAAATCCTTTGTAAGTACAGAAAAAGCATCAGCAAAATGTACTTTGAGTATTAAAAGCAAAAAGTACTCTGCAGTAAACTGTCTCCTTAGACTGATACCTGATTCTCACTGATTACTGATCCTGAGTTATCAGAGCTTCAGCAGCATTTTAGTGTTGGAACACTGATGACTCAGGGCGGACCTGGACTGAAATACTTTATAGACAGTTAGCTAGTATGGTCCAGGGGTTTCCAAACTAAGGGTCAGGCCCCTTCAAAAAGTCACCAGATCAATCTGGGGATTTATAGCTGTCCAAACATCGGATACCTCTGGCTGCCATGTACAGTAAAGGTGGACAGGTTGGAGAGGATTGTTTTTATCCAACTCGAGTCTTTTTTGACAGATAATGGCATTGAGGGACAATTTCAATCTGGTTTGAAATCAAAACATAGTACTGAGTCTGCATTATTAAAAATCAGTAACAATACCCTGTTGACTAGGGATGCCGGGGATTCAGTTTTATTGGTGCGTTTGGATCTCACTGCTGCCTTTGATACAGTGGATCATGAAATCCTCCTGTCTTGTTTGGAGCAGTGCGTAAGAATTCAAGGTAGTGTTCTTAAATGGTTCAGATCTTATCTCACCAATAGAAGTTTTACTGTTAATATTGGTACCTGTTCATCTTCGTCAATTATCCTTTCCTGTGGTTTCCCCCAAGGATCTGTGCTTGGTCCCATTTAGTTTTTTGTACATGCTCCCACTGGGATCTATCTTAAGGAAATATGGCCTTTCTTTTCATTGTTATGCTGATGACATTCAGATTTACTTACCGTTAAAGGCAACAAGAGGGATGTCATTACAGCTGCTGTTTGACTGTCTGACAGACTTGAAATCATGGTTGGCACAACTTTTTAAATCTCAAAGAAAATAAGACTGAGTGTGTGCTATTTGGTGACTTGGCGAACCTAACTGCTTCTAACCAGGGCCTGTGCCCCCTAGCTCAACACCTGAACCTGACTGTAAAAAAAATCTAGGGGTGATGTTTGATGGTGACTTTAGATTTGACAAGCGAATCAACTCAGTTGTAAAATCTAGCTTCTTCCACCTGAGGCTGTTAAGCAAGGTCAAGTCATTCCTTTCTTTTAATGATTTTGAGATTACAATCCATGCTTTTATCACTTTTAGACTTGATCATTGCAATGCTCTACACTCCCTGACAAAGGTCTTGTCCTATAAGGACATAGTAACCTAAAATGTCATATAACTTTATTTCTAATCATTCAGTTGTCACAATAAATTGTTAATTTTAATGTCAAGGGCATTCACATTAATAAATGGGTGCAAAATGAAACCATCAAAAAGTGTCCTGATGTTCACAGTTTGGTAAAGCCCATAACATCTGTTTCTGCAAGGACAAAAGTCTTGCCGTATCTTTAAAGGATTCAACCAATCGCAAATTAGAGTGCCATCTGTGACAAATACTACAATTAACACATTCCCAGGTGTGTATAAGAAGAACCCCAGCACACCCAACCTTCATTTGAAATGCAACCTGACCTCTGACAGCATGCCAAAGATTCAACCACAGACCAAGTCTCCTGCTGAGGTGGCAGGCATCTTTAATGTATCTAAACATCAAGTGGAGAGGATAAGAAAAAGATTTGAAAAAACTGGTGAAGTTCATGACAGGCCCGGGTCAGGCAGACCCCGTAAGACAACTGTTCGAGAGGACCATTTGTTGCTTCGACAGTCCAGGGCCAGCCCTTTTTCAACTTCAGCAGAGCTACATAAAAACTGATCACCAGAAACCCCTGTATATACAAGAACAATTTGTCGAATTCTCTCACGCAGTGGTCTCAATGGCTGAACTAGTGCTCAGAAACCAGCATTAAAAAGAAGACAACTAAAAAAATCGTGTTGTATTTGCCAAGGCCCACAGCTTGAAGGAAGGATGGACAGTGGAAAAGTGGCAGAAGGTTGATTTTTCCAATGAATAATCTATTGAACTGCATCCTAATCAATGCAAATGCCGCAGAAGACCTATTGGAACCCGCATGGACCCAAGATTCACACAGAAAACAGTCAAGTTCGATGGAGGTAAAATCATGGTTTGGGGTTACATTCAGTATGGGGGCGTGCAAGAGATCTGCAGAGTGGATGGCAATATCAACAGCCTGAAGTATCAAGACATTCTTGCTGCCCATTACATTCCAAACCACAAGAGAGGGCAAATTCTTAAGCAGGATGGCACGCCTTCTCATACTTCAGCCTCCACATCAAAGTTCCTGAAAGCAAAGAAGGTCAAGGTGCTCCAGGATTGGCCAGCCCAGTCACCAGACATGAACATTACTGAGCATGTCTGGGGTAAGATGAAGGAGGAGGCATTGAAGATGAAACCAAAGAATCTTGATGAACTCTGGGAGTCCTGCAAGAATGCTTTCTTTGCCATTCCAGATGACTTCATTAATAAGCTATTTGAGTCATTGCCGAGATGTATGGCTGCAGTCCTCCAAGCTCAAGCTTGAGTCATACACAATATTAATTCTTTTTTCACGGCACCATGACTTTATGTTCTGTACTGTACATTATTTTGTTATGCGACAAGACTTTTGTCTAAGCAAAGTCTGACCTTTCTGTCCTAATTCAATAATTAAAAATCAAGAATGATAAGATTTTATTGTGGTAAAATAAGCATAATCTAGAGGCCTTTGCCTTTCATATAAGCCACTTCTGATTCCAAATGATCAACTACAAGTCAAGTTATTATTTGTTGTTCCTACATCTTGGATAGGCAACAAGACTTTTGTTAGGGAGTGTATATCGTCTCCAAATGGGGCAAACTGCTGCTGCTTGTCTTTTGACAAGTACCACGAAATTCGAGCATACAACCCCGGTACTGGCTTCTCTCCACTGGCTTCCAGTCTTCCAGTTTTAGAATTGATTTTAAGATAAGCCACTTCTGATTCCAAATGATCAACTACAAGTCAAGTTATTATTTGTTGTTCCTACATCTTGGATAGGCAACAAGACTTTTGTTAGGGAGTGTATACCTAGGTGTTAACCAGTTCTCCCTCACTCGTCTCCAAATGGGGCAAACTGCTGCTGCTTGTCTTTTGACAAGTACCACGAAATTCGAGCATACAACCCCGGTACTGGCTTCTCTCCACTGGCTTCCAGTCTTCCAGTTTTAGAATTGATTTTAAGATGCTGATTTTCATTTTTTAAGGCTCTTAATGGTTTGGCACCATCTTACCTCACTGAATTGGTGCATTGGCACAAACCTACAAGGTCTACCTTTTAATGTTAGATCAGCTACTGACCTCATTACTTTTAAATCATTGCTTAAAACATATTTATTTGCCTTGGCTTTTAATACACAGTAGGACCTGATGCATTCCTTTTAATTTTAACGTATTGAATGTATGTCATCTGTGTGTGTTATTGTGCCGTTTTATTTTTGCACTGATCTTATTTATTTTATTTTAGTCATTTATTGTCGTTTTATTCTGCCTTGTAAATACTTTGGTCAACTGGATGTTGTTTTTAAAGTGCTATATAAATAAATTTGATTTGATTTGACTCACCTGCAGAACTTGAACAGGATCTTCTCAAAGACCAAGACTGGACCGGTGCTTCCCAGGATGGTGAGAGGCTGGCCAGCAAACATGGAGTAGGCCACCCCCGTTAGAGAGGCCCCGAACAAACTCTCTATGGCACTCTACCAGGGAGAGAGGAAGGCAGCAGGTCAGACAGCTGTGCAGCTGTCGTTTTGCTGGGGCTACCGTTTCCCTCAACTCCTTCCAATCTCTCAGTGCTAGTTAAGGTAAATTAAAATCATTTTAAAAATTAAATCATGTTTATATTTTCTAAGTGAGGCACTGAATCTGCTTTCTCATCTGTCTTAGGGGGATACAGACAATGAAGGGGTTTAGCTCCCATTAGAATCACTGTAGCTTCAGACAGCATACTGATGTAACTCTAAGGGTTTTCAATAACCCTGCTCTCCCCTCAGCGTGGATCTTACTATGTTTCCTTTTGTAGCTTCTCCCAGCAGACCTCCAAATGTGATGACAGGCGACATGCAGGCACAGTAGAGGAAGAGGATGGAGGCCAAACACTGAAGACTGAGGGCGTCTCTGATGTCGCTCCACAGGAAGGGAGTTTTCCTCCGGATGTCGTTCACCAAACCACCGAAGAGCCTGGCAGGCACAGGAGGGACTCACCGTTAGTGATAGATTTGAGTTCGCAATAGAAATACTTTAATTTCTCACATTTTATCTTTGATCATATGAGGAACAAGTATTTTTCAACTTCCATCTTCATGTTGTGCTAATGTTTCATATTCTTTTTAATTCTTTCACTGAATGAAAGTGTTTTGATCAATTCATGCACATTGACTTTATGTTCAGTTATGTGTACAAACACACACCTCCCCGTCCTCTGCAGCTCTGGTCCAGTGTGGTGCGCCTCCCTCACTATCTCGGAGCTGGGGGGGGAGGCATTAGGGATGGACGGTATCTTCCTCTTCTCCTGCAGAGACAGAGGAGACAGAGCTGATTACAGCAACGTCATTGTTGTTTTATTTAATCAAAATCAGTAGGAAAGCAACATAATTCTGACATAACACAGACCAATATATTAACCCTCCTGTTATGTTCATTTCTCAGGTGATGCCTGCTCAGCAGTTATGTTCGTGGGTCAATTTGACCCGCAACATAACAGGAGAGTTAATAATAAATAATATAAAAAGTCAACAAAATATATACAAATGAAACAGAAAAAACAGCCTGATATTGACACTGTAGATGATGTTTGGGTGAACATGTGGAAGATGCACCAAACATCCACCAACTCACAACCAGGAGGGAACACAGGTGAAACGCAGCTACACAGAGATCAGAGATGGTGGGAATCCGACATTTATTACTCACACAGTATTTGGAAACATAATAAAATAACTGTTTTGGGAAACAGTGGGTAAAGCACTACAGCAAATTTGAGGATATGAGGTCAAGTCAAACTTTGCCTCAGCGGGATTTACAATCAGTACAGCTGAGCATACGACACCCTCCATCATCTGACCCTTGAATCAGATATTTTAAAAAATACCCTCCCTGTTTATTGATACCTTGGCTCTGAGTTCCCTGAAAAAGTGTGATGTAAATCGGAGATCACTGCTGCCTGACAGGATGCAGGTTCGGGTCTGTGGTCTCACCTGAGACGGGATGCTCTTTGGGGGTTCGATGCGGATGCTGGGATCCCATTCACCAGGAGGAAGAACAGTGACCTGGTCCAAGAACTCATCGATCCCCGACACCAGGTCATTCCTGTCTTTCGCCTTGTAAGCGACATCGTGGAAAACCTGGCAGAGAGAGAGAGAGAGACAATGACACAGAACAGCAGCAGTCTCAAAGTCTCAAATTGAAAATGTCTAAAAGCAGTTTCCTGTTTTCTTCTTAACAAGAGCTTGTGCTGAATCTGCTGTAATAAGCCCTCAGCTCTCGATCAAACAACTTTTGTCATGCTTTCTTTCATTTTTAAGATCTTCAGAGGCCATTAAAAACTCTTGGATCTGTCGAGGTTTAGATGATTACTCGGGTGTGATCCACACTAAAGTCAGAGACATACTGAGAAACAGAATCTCATAACCTACATAAAACCCCGCTTCTTCTTTTTTAAAGTCTGATATCTTCAAACACTGGTGCTCTACACTCACCGGCCACTTTATTAGGTACACCTGTACGACTGTATGCACTTCACTGCAACACTTCTGTGTTTATGAAGCTCAAAATGTTTCAGTTGTTTGTGAAATTGTCGTAAATGTATTCAAATTCAATTTTATTCAGAGGTGGCTCTATGTTTTTGGGCTCCCCAGTTACACACATGAGAGGGTCAGAATATCAGGAATGTATGATCTTGCTTGCTGTACTTCGGTTTCATTTTTGACTCTTCCACTGGTTTGTTCTGGAGTGTCTTTATGTGACCCGAGTCAGCACTGACACCTGTTAGCAGCACCACCTGCAGGGCACTGGCTAGGTAGAAATACCTGAGCTGTAATGTGGTTTGTTCACAGTGAATAGTTTGTTCATGCTGAAATGTCTGCCTCTATGCTCAACTATGCAAATTGATGAAAGCACATCTTCTTTTAGAGAGTGAAAGGGCCTTTTCCCTGACTTTCCTTCTCCTGTCGTCTCACCTCGTCTGTCATCAGTGTGGCGATGGAGCGTCCAATCTCGTGGTACTGTGGACCTTTTCCAAATGGACCCAGCAGCAGGAAGAGAAACCTGGACAGATAGGAAGATGATCAGAAGCACACACAGACCAGCTGACCCCCAGCTAACACACAAAATATTATCACAAAAACATCTTGAAAAATTACATCATTTTAAAGCTATATGACCCACTTCAACATTGAACGTTTTGATTTGTGAAGCAGTACATCACATGTAAATACATTTACTGTATTCGCAGAGAGTAAAACCTTGAGAAATGCTCTGCTCTGATTTTCTGCATATGTCAACAACAGCCAGAGTCAGTATTACTTAGCTGTGTTTAGTTACACACACGTGCACAGCTGATGTGCTGTACCACGTAAATACAGACAGCATCATTGTGTCACTGAAGGCTTTGCCGTTTCCTGCTGCTTTGCATAGCTTGTCCAGTGTTTGTTTTGTTGCTATTTTTGCTTTTATGGTGTCTTTGTCTGTAATCTTTGACCATCACATCCTGGTTTTGGAATTTCTCACCAAATAGCTGGATAACACTAGAACCTTTACAGAGCTGCTGATAACTGTATGTGTTCTTAAAAAAAACGACAACAACAACAAAAAAAAACTTAAATGAAGAGTGTGTTTACCTGGTGGGGACTGGGACCTCAGTGAGGCCGGTCAGCAGCACAGCAGGGGACAGACGAACAAAGGCAATGATTGGTCGCTCCAAGAAGTCGACTTCACCCACCAGTACGTTGGAGGCCTCAGCACCAGGAGGAATCTTCTTCATGAAGTTCATATTCACCTGAAAACATAGGACTGGCCTCACTATGACCCCACAGACCTTTCCACTAAACTGTTTAACTCCCCTACTGTAAGACTAAGAACAGACAGATCATCAGCACTTTCATGTCATGACTGTAATGGACACTGCAGCCTGCAGGGGGCAGTAAAGGGCTTGATTCAATTTGTTTCTCCTCCTCCTCCTCCTCCTCTCTTAAGACTGAATGTGTTGCTGTCACAGAGCTCAGGTGAGATCTGGCAACAAGTAAAAGCAGCAAGTTGAGACTGGCTGTGAGAGTCTGTTGATTGGATACAGAGCCAAGGAATCAAATTCAAATGTCTCTCTGAATTATTAACAGTAGCCAGGTGCTTTTCCCTGATGGAGACCAAGAGTTGTAACTCTGTAGTTGGCAGACGGTTTGTTTCAGTCTCTTTAAATAAAGAATCTATCAGACATATACACAATAACAACTAAATTAAATTTAATTATGACCAGGACACCTAATCACTAACTTGCCTGTTCTCTTGCTGGGTTTATGGAGAGTTAAAGAATTTTCTGGACAGTACATTTCTATTCTGTACTATACACAATATATCAGGACAGACATGGTGCTGCATCATGACAACACCCAAGAAATCCACCTCATACTTCATCACAAAACAACACAGATGATGAGTCGAGCCAGGAACCAGCGAGCTTTCAACATGCCACCAAGCAAAACAAACAGCAGCAACAGAGTCCAAACACGGATGTACACAGTACGCTACCATGATGACTCACGACACAGCCACTGATTGGTCAACAGCTGGGACTTACAGCGGGCTGTCTGCCGGCCACTGGCAGCAGACGAACACAGGCGCAGTCCTGCTGACAAACACAGCAGTCACCATCCGACACGCAGCCTCTGATTGGCCTCTTCTTGTTCACACATTCACAGAGGCCTAACAAAACTTCATAATGCCTCATACTCTAAGTGTTGGACCAAACCAGACTAACAATGATTTGTTTACAGACTCAAAGAACTCTGGTGTGTTCGTGACCCTTTTGTGTCAGAGACAGAAAGTGGTCACATCATCTTCCACTGTGGATGAGACATTTGCAGCTCTATTAGAAGTCAATGTACAGAAATAGCAACTAAGTCAATACAACATAGAATTATAGCTCAATTCTGAGTGGTTTACTAAAGGTTTCACTAATGCTGAAACTCAAAACAATGCAAAATATAAGTCTGCATGAGCTTCTGTTGATGCTTTCATTTGTCTTACACTCATTTACTGTTTGCTGCTGTTGGTCTCTTTCCTTCTCTCTGCTGCTTACACTGACTGGTGACGTCGCTATCAGAGTTTGAATGTCACCACTGGGCATGGCACAGTCAGGATTACTAAAACGATTAGCCACTGACTTGTCTTGTTTCAACAAACAGCTCCAACACGTTGCTCTGCACAGCATGAGAAGCTAATGGAGCAGTGTAAACAGAGCCGAAGTCAGTGACTCTGTGTTCAGACTCTGTCCACAGTGACGCTGTTCTCAGCCTGTGGAGCGGTTTGTTGGAAACAGGCTTCCTGAGGAAAAAACCTGCCCCCCAGCGCAGCGGTGTGGCTCACTGGGTGGGGGGTTTAATAGGTGGCGGTACAACAGTGGAGATCTATGGCACAGAACCACACTGTGAGGACACCACATTGTGGAAAGCAACTCAAACATCTGAAATCCCAGGTCTGATCCTATAGAGCAGTGGTCCCCAACCACCGGGCCGTGGCCTGGTACTGGTCCGTGAGGCATTTGTTACCGGGCCGCACAGAAAGAATAAATAATTTATATAATTTCCATTGCATTAATTTTTAGAGTCTGGAAGATGTTTTATTATGAAAAACGACGGGATTTTCTCCGACATATCATCCACCTGTGCCCCTTGACACGTCAAGACGCATGTGTCGGTCACGATGTCACGTGATACGCTGCTAAAAAAAAAAATAAGCCCGCAAACTAGCTAAAATGAGTAAAAAAAAAACAAACGTCTTTGAAGGGCTTCTTTTCAAAGGGGAAAAGGCCTACTGACGAGCCAGAAGAGGAGCCCACGACCTCCAAGAAAAAGAAAGCTTCTTTTAACAGACAATATCAGGAGTCATACTTAAAATATGGGTTTATAACAACAGGTGACTCTCATGCACCAGGGCTGCTCTGCATGTCTGTGCAACAAGAGGATCAGCTTCTGGAGATCGCAAATGACGGTGACCTTAAACGTACATTTGAGACGACAACTCTGCCGATGCTCTGGATGAAAATCAAGCCAGAATATCCTGAAATCGCCACAAGAGCACTGAAAACCTTGCTACCATTTCCAACATCCTATCTTTGTGAAGTGGGCTTTTCTACAGTGACAGCAACCAAGACAAAATTACGGAGCAGACTGGACATAAGGGACACATTGCGTGTGTCATCGTCTCCCATCAGCACTAGATGGGACCATCTTGTTGCAGGGAAAAAAGCCCAGGGCTCCCACTGACTCTGCATTATGGTGAGTTGATATAGTGTAGAATTATTGTAATTGCCTAACATAAAGTGTAATTGTTGCATTCAGATTACATGAATTGGTCCGCGGAAACATTTTCATGCATGAAACCGGTCCATGGTACAAAAAAGGTTGGGGACCGCTGCTATAGAGAACAATGTGCGACCCACAAACTGTTCTATATCGTTTTCCACTCACTTCAGCAGCAAGTGCAACATTATCCATCTATAAAATAACCTGTCCTTTCATTAATAAATATCAGTTATCCTGGACAATGGGTTAATGAAGGGTTGTGCTTGTGTCAGCGAAGGTGTGTTACCTTGCTGAAGTCCATGGTGCTGTTCTCCCTGCTGTCTCCGTTACCACCATTAATGCGGCTCTCGCTGTTCTTGTTGGTGTCAAGGTTTCCAGGGACTGAATGAGGAGATGCCAGCAGACCTGCAGTGACAAGAACATGTGATGAATTGACAAGAAAAACAGACTGACTGAGTTAAGCGGATGCCAAACACTATGCTTTGTTTTGACTGAATCCTGAAGGTGCTTTCAAATGCACCTGTAACTGGGCCCTGCACTGGGTTTCAGGTCGTGACCAGCAGCATGACCTACAATACCTTTAACCTCACCTAACAAACTTTAAGCTACTTATTCCTACTGTGACCCAAGCAAAAAGCACACACTCAGTAGCTTGACCCAGCCTCATGTATACACTGCATCCGCTAAGCTGTTGTGGCTGAGCCCACTGGCTCGAGTGGCAGCGTCATCTGAACGCCACAGGCCGCTCAGCAGTCCCTACTCATCCAGCTCCCATAGTCCTACTGCTCACACCTTTCTGATTTTATGTGGCCTGGACTGAATTCTCATGGCGGATGTCGGAAACAGAGAAGTGAAGTATCGTCATATAAAGGCTTGATTTAGTTAAATTAGCAACATCAGTGATGTGAGGTTTATACTTCAAGTATCCAGAGTACCAGTAGACATCCTGCAGATCGGCCCATGTCACATTAATATCTCTACTGCTGGATCTTACTGACTGATACATTACTGTGTTCATCACTTTAATGCTGCAGCTGGTAAAGGTGGAGCTGATGTTAACCACCTTATATACTTATACTGTGAAGTATAGCTGGTGGATTTCCCACCGGGATCAATAGAGTCTGATGATTCTACTGTGTTTAGTTTGATTCATCTGATTCTGGAAAGTAACTGAAGTTATTAAATACATGTGGTGCAGTAAAAAGTACTAGGTTTATCTCTGACATGGAGTGAAGTTACAGTATGAAGTAGCAGGACATGGAAATACTCAGGTAAAGTACAAATACATCAAATGTTACTTAAGTGCATGTCGTCATTTACCTTCCCCCTCTGCTAGTAGTTAACACCTGGGTCACAGACCCTCACAAAGAGCAGAGACTGGGCGACGTGACCCGGCCTCATGCCGACATCAGCTGGCCAAAGAGGCTTGTTAGGGAAGTTCACGAGAGAGCAGGCCTGCTCAGCCACCAAAGGTCAAATTATTTTGACCTCAACAGGACATGTCTTTGTCTTTGAGCTACAGCTACCACACAGCCACAACAGTCCACACCAACTGCTGCCAGACAAACTCTGGGAACTGAAGCTGAGCTGCAGTTTTCTGTTCTTACATAGTTTGACAGGATTCGCCACTGAGGATTCTGACAAACCGTTCAGCATTAGGTTTTCACTGCTGAAACTCTGAGCTAAAGCTGCTGATTTAAAGTCCAGGGCTGCAGAAGAGACAGAACTTTAATCTTAAGGAAACCACGGGACGCAACAGGACACGCTACCGTTTCTAACACACACACTCAGTTAACCCATGACATTGCTGCCTCTCGTCAGCCTCGTGTCCTGTTACAGTCCAGCTGCCTGGATTCCAAACGTGATGCTAAATGACACTCGGTGCACCAGCTCATTCTTCCTTCAACCTTCTGAGCTTCCACTGACATTTCCCCTCAGGTCTAAATACAGACGTTATGTCCTCTCAGTGCAACGCTGCTACAGTCTGTATTTACTGTGTACTGAGGAATGTTTACCCAAATAACATCAGGCTGTAAAGATGGAAACAACTTAAAGAGCTGCTATTAAACTAATTTAAACATAGTTTATTTCTGAACATACATTATTGATCTGGTTAAACAAAAATAAAAGATATTCAAAGCCCAAGAAACTCAACACAACACAGCACAGCTGAACCTGGTCTTGATCTGCTTTGCTTACTAAAGAGTTCCTAAAAAAAACCTTTCTAGATGTTTTTTTGAAATTTCCATGTTCACTTTGAAGGTTCCTAGTTAAACTTTCAGCATTTCTACTCCAATCTCAGGTTTTCCAGTTTGCCATTTAATGGGCTCTATTTGTCCTTTCAGCATTTGGACTCTTCAGGTTGAGACGTCTACAGGTCACGTTCCACTGGAGTCAGCACATTGCTGTGCTAGTCATCACACTCACTGATTGTCAGACCTGTTAACTTCGGCACATGCCCAGTAACTCAGTAACGACACCTTTGTTCACCTGTACTGATCATTAACACTCTGGTGGAAGAACCATCACTGTTCAGAGTCTGATGATGATCTAGACAGCACTTCACCTCTGATACCATACACACTGTCCCAGCTGCAACAAATCACTCTGAGCCTCTTAGCAATTTCCTAAAGTATAACCACCTTTTGACATAATGCAGCCTGGATCCACTGCATGTTGCACTACAATGCAATGACTACAGTGACAGCAACAAACACGTTACATTTCCTAAAGGTAGCGTTCATCGCATTGGCCAGCTGAAGCCACAGTGGTAATTTTCTCCTCTGTGAAAACTGGCTCCTGTGAGACAAAACATGATGCTACAGACTTGCAACTAAGATCAAATTCCAACTGAAACTCTGTTGACTCAGCAGGTGTCATCAGATTTGACATATCTTTCAAAGTTACTGATCTAGATCCTGAAGAAATCCATAATTAGTGAAATTGTCTTTTTTTTTTAAATAAGTTTCAGACCACTAATGATAATCACTGTTTCATGGTCAAGGAATCATGTTATAAGGGTCACACTGATGGGAGTACTGCTTTTAGGTGGAATGGCATTACAGGGACAGGGAGCTGCCACAAAGACAAAGGCTCCTAAATGTGGCTGTAAAGAGTTATACAGTATAACTGCACTCTTGTTAGAGGATGTCTGTGTGGTGCTTTTAAATAAAGTCCAACATCCACAGTGGTTTTCCAGCTGTGACTGCTGATAATCTAAACCACAACCTAAAACAAGTCACTTTAGTTTGAATCTGCAGATAGTGTTTTGCACTGAGCTGGGGAGCAAAGCATCCACACTGCAACGTGCCAGTATTTGCCTGTGTAACTGTCAGGAAAAGCCAGATCCTGACCGGAGAGGTAGTCCTGTTTGTCCAGAAACTCCTCCTCTTCCTCCTCCTCCTCATCTTCCTCGTTCACAGTGGGGTGAACCACCACCTCAGGGATTCCTCCTACCAGCCCCCCCGGAGCAGAGCAGCGACGTGAACAGTGGGGGGAGTGGGTGTTGAGGAGGGAGGTGGGAAGGGAGGGGGTGAGCCCGGGCGGGTAGGGCTCAGAGAGGTGGCGGCCATATCGATACAGAGCAGGAGAGGCCTGAGGCGAGGAGACCAGGCTGGGGAAGAGGAGCCTGAACAGGTTGGAGAGAGATCGTGAAGATGGAGGGGGGATGAAGACATCACATGAGATGGCGGAGGCACGATGGAGGAGGGAAAGATGAGAGGAGGACACACCCTCCCCTGAAGAGAAGAAGAATGACAAGGTGAAAGGACAGAAACAGCAGCAGGGCGGCTGAACAATGCTCATGCTGATGGTTAAAGTCAAACCAAAGCTGCTGACAGACAGACAGGAAACACCAGACTGCTGCTGAGAGTCAATGTATGACCTGCTCGCAGCAGCATTTATACTGGATCATGCAGTGGTTTAGCCTGGACCACTAACTGCAAACGGCACTGTCAAAAGACATATGTGCTTCAGATTCTTCTCCATAAGGAGGTGTCTGATCAATCTACAGCCTGACACTGAGCCCAAACCTCCAATTAATATGTTCAGAGCCCAGAAGAAATAGTAGTCCTGCAGTAGATGGGCTGGCCCACACAAAGCCCTGACCTCAGCATCATGGAGTCAGGCTGGGGTCACATGCAGAGACAGAGACACCGAGACAGCCCGAGCCCACAGGAGAACTGTGGCAGTGTGTCCAAGACGCTGGAACAACTGAACTGCCAGCAAATACTGATCTGGTTTAGGTTTGTTCTTTTTACTGGCTGTTGGATGCAGTTCACTGAGAAAAAGAAAATATTCCTGGGATTATTTTTAAGCACCTCAATTGCCTGAAATGTTTGTACAGTAGTCATCTAATCAATAACAGTAAATACTGAACAAGTTTGAGGCCTTCACAGAGTTTGTCCACAAGGAAGCACTGACAGGTTTATTTTTATGCTGTAAAGATTTCATATATCTAAATCACCATTCTTTAAAAAAAACAAATCTAAGGGATCCTTATCAGCAGTGTTTTGTGTGTTTGTGTCTAAGAAGAAATAAAAATCCTTATTGGAGGTTAAAATACAACTGACACATAATGCTCCAGTGTTTCCTCAGGTTTACAGAGGCTGCGTTATTTTTAAACAGTTTTTTAGAACACAACGTGTGCACGTCTGTGTTTTGTTACTATTGTGCGTTTTCCTGTGGATTAAGTGATTTTCTTTTTCCTCAATAAAATTTTGCAGGTCTCCTTTATGCAAACCTAACAGGTCTGTCTTTCCTCTATGCACTGTACATCACAACCTCTGAGTTACAGTACGTTTCTGTTATCACAAGGTGCAAGTGGCTACTCTGGTATCTACAACATCTGACAGACTAGTGTTTCATCAGACAAAACCAAGTATGTTTGTAGGCAGGCGGATGCTTTGTCACTGCTGTTAGAGGTCTAAGAGTTTGGAGCTTTATCTGCCATATTACATCAATAAAACCATTAACACATGCATTAACTTCTATCTGAAGAGTTGCCTGCTTTCTGCTGACAGACCCGCAGAGCTCCAGCTTAGACCAAATCCAACAGCAGAATTAAACCATTCCTCACTCTCTCACAGACAGGAGGAGGTTGAAGACCTGACTTGTCACACGGTATTAACTGGTCATTAGCTCACTGACTCAGCAAGTTAGGTCAGGTTAGTGCCGACTGGTAGCAACTGGCAACACACCAAAAAACTGCAGAGGATGATCCCAGGCTTCCACACGCACAGTAAATATGAAACAGTATTAGAAACGTACTCAGGTCACATAGTACCTTATCACAACTACATACACATTCATTCAGGCCACAACCATGCAGCAGCCAGAGGCCTCTCTGCTCAGAATTAATGAAATTTATATCAGCCAACAACAGTAAAACTAAATCACCAACTGTCGAAGACAAAGCCCGAGTCAAATCTCACACAACTTCATAGACCTCCATCATGTCAGTCTACAAAGCAACAGCATGCAGACACGATGCCATGCACTAACCGCAGACTCGCTCTCTTGTCACTCTGTTACCTCCACCAATCAGGATGAGTAAACTCTGAATTCCAACAACACGCAACTAAAACGAACAACACTGAAGGAGTTCTTGAAACAGCAGAGCTTACTTCAACATGAGGAAGATCTACAGATTCAACGAGGCAAAAATTACAAATCACAAAACATGCAGTAAAATGTCTTATAATTCACATCAGTAATGAACAAGATTATTTTATACACTGAATAAACTGGTACAGATAAATCCCTGCTCTCTGCTCCAGCAGAGAGAAACTTGTATTTCCAAGGTTACAACATTTATCAGTCAAATTTCCACATGATCTCTTCCTGCTCCTGGAAAACATCTGTGTGATTCACTGAAGACATGAAGTAATGTGGAAAAAGACGTCCTTCACCTGTGAATACGGAATCTGATCTGCAGGTGAATGTGTAAAAGCTGAAGCTCAGAATGACAAGAGCGCTGCGGTCTCACCGTTACGATCCAGTAAATGGGGGTCGGAGTGTTTCTTGCCTATATCTGCAAATGATCGGACCAGCGGGATTCTGTTGCTCAGCTTCTTCTCGTTCTGGTGGTGGTGACGTCTCAACATGGCCTCCCTCACCCTCTCCTGAACGCCATCCTCGAGCTGACCCGACGCCAACAAGCTGTCAATCACCATGTCTGCATGTGAGGAGGACATGATATTAGCTGGCAAGTTGAATGAAAACACTGTACACCTCACCAGCTCTGGCTGGTCCAGTGCGCTGACCTGCGATCTCCTCAATGGTGTTGGCCCTCATGTCGAGCAGCACGGTGCCGTTCAGGATGCAGGACCGCAGCTCAAATAGGCTGTGCAGGGACAACGTGGCCACATATGGTTTACTCCAGCGCTCACCACCATCTTCTACATCCTCCTCAAACTTTAACCACCTGAACACACACAGATTTAACTATTAAATACCAGGACAAAGTCCTCTGTGATCTAAAACACCTTTATAAGTCACTCTGCTGAGCAGCTCTCTAAGGTGGCACAAATGTCACCTGTCACAGCAGGCTCTAAGCACTGTTCCAATTAATAAAGGGGACACTTAGGAAGGTTTGGCATCAAATATAGACTTTTTTGTCACATCTGCTGTTTACACTGGAGTTTAAATAATATTTACTGCACTGCGTAAATACAGTGGGTAATGTAGATTTCAGTCACCCTGGTGTTATTTAAGGATTTCAAAACTAATTCCAGTGGATTTAAGAGGAAACCAATGATGACGAGGCTTCAGACAAACTGACAAAGGCTGGATTAGTGATGAAACATTCTGAACTTAAATTATGAATCCTAACAAAACAAAGATTTATCCTGCATGAAGCAGGAGAGGTTATTTATCAAAGCGAAGCCAAGTCACGTGCTATTACAAATACCATGTGGCGGGTGTTATTTTAAACAGAGAGGAAGGAAAGGCATAAACAACATCTGAGATCAAGCTGAGAAAACAGAAGGGCATTACACCAAATCAAATTAAGGTCTACATTTAAAGTAAAAAGTGGTTAAAGGAACATACAGACCAGAGCAGAATGAGAAGAACCAAAACAAATATATGTAAAGTTCTGGGGTGTGCCCACCTGGCCGTCTCCTTCCACTCCTGGATGTCTCCGTCTCTGAAGGCAAGCTCGTCCAGCTCGGTGAACAGGTCATGGGGGATGTGCTCCTCGTCGTCGTCCTCTGTCCCGAGGATGAAATGGACTCTCTGAGATGGAGTGTCTGCAGGGACAAAGCACACTTGTCATCATTTCATCTGTATCTCATAGGCTGCGTTCACATCCCAGGCCTTAATGCTCAGCTCTGATCTCTGTGTTGCTGCTTCCCGTCCGTGTGTGTCAGTGCCATGTACCTGGCTCTGGTGTGAACACCGCTGAGCTCCTAAACTGCCACACATGCACAGATGTAACTGAAATGTGAGCCACGTGCACACAAGAATAACAACCAGGTCACATGTGCGACGATCAAATGGCCCAGTTTCCTCCCAGACTGCTGGGTTATGATATGTTCCTTCCAGTTAGGCCTAATTAAAAGCTTCTCCATAAATGTCCACAACATGTGAAACATCCTGGTCTCTCCACTGACCCCATCGCTGTTGTCGCTCTCCTCCATGTTTATTGTTACCGGTCTGTGAGGGTCCAAATGATGATGACAGGCCGTATGAGCAGAGGAGGAGATGTTAAAACAGCCAAATGGGTTCTGATCTGACTGTTCTGACAGCACTCACACAGTCAGAGGTAGGATAGGAATCGGATCTAGGAGCACATACACAGGTGGTCTGGTCTGTTCACACTGCTGTGGACACATCAGGTCTGGGAAACTTTAGCTGGGATGTGAGTGTGGCTACTGTATCCTCACTGTTACTTGTGTGTGTGTGTGTGTGTGTGTGTGTGTGTGTGTGTGTGTGTGTGTGTGTGTGTGTGTGTAATAAAATACTGTAACCGAGTCGGGACAAACCATATGCAGGCGAATCTCGCCCATCATCCCGGTCTGACTGGTCTCGCCTCTTCTGGTGATGCCTGTGTCCTCTGTGACGGTGTCGCCTCCGGCTCGGTCGGCCATGAGGAACATGAACTCCAATGTACACCGCCCTGTGACCTAATTTGAGTACAAACTGGGGCATCAGTCACTTCCAAGCCCGTACAAATGTGTGGACACAGTCTATATTGCAGGCAGGTGAAGCTAATTGTCCACTCCACTTTTATTTCTAACTTCCAGTGTTTCCACTCAGGTCTAAGTTGAAAATCTGAGAACAAACAAGTGGATGGAAATGCACTTACTGTCCAGAAAAAGACAAGTGATCACAAGCTTTAGCCTCTGCTCAGACAATCCGAGGATCTGTCCTAATCAGGGACAGGCACTGCTCAATGTTTTGTTATTGTCTGACACATGAGGTTCAGTTCCAGGACCAAAATATTCCTTTTTGTATCGTCTTAATTTGAGGAATACAAACATTTCCCTTACTTTTCATTTTTTTAGTTCGACACCGTCTGTCTAAAATTAGCCCAAGGACCAGACTTGGACCACAAACCACATGTTGGTTTTCCATGTCACACTCTGCCCCGACTCGCTGTGGCAAGTAAAAACGTGTTTAAATACGGGCTGAGGCACATTTGTTACTGCCTGTTTGACTGTAAACACAGACTGGAGTTACTTTGCTACAGTGTGTGTGTGTGTAAACAGAGAAAATAATTACCCTCCAGTTCTTCTTTCTCAAAGTTGGTATAGAGGGTGGAGCTGGTCTTCCCCCGGTCCAGCACCGCCTCCTCATCGTTCCCCTGCAGCAAGAACAAGGTGGGGAGGAAATAATAAGGGTGTTTTATGTACTTATGAGGCCAGTCACTGACATACTGTTGTCCCTAAGACTGTTCCCCTAAGCCTGATTTAAACCTGGGCCCAGCTCTGAAACAGTCCTGAAGAACTGAGGACTGGTCAGCATGTCCTCACCACTGTACCGACAGAAGATGGGCATTAGTTTAGGTTTTAATGCCCACTGCACTTACTCACCAACCAAATGCTGCACACAGCACCTGAGGTTATACAAGTCTTTTCAAAGAGAAGCCCCGTCTGTCTGCGTGGAGCAGAAGGGAAAAGACGTCACAGGAAATCCGGAACGTTTCAGGGCGGTGTTAAATTTCTGGTTTGGTTACAACTCAGTGGTTTGAACTTTCATCTCTGTCACTATGTTGTAATTAAAATGTCAAATGAAACAAGGAAATCCTGAGTGTGTCAAGACAAAATGTTAGAGCTGATCTTCCCATGGCAGCAGAAACCCCAGAACCAGTGCAACAAACTTCAGCTAATGTGTCAAGCTGTTATTTTGTTACCATGAATCCCTGTCGAGAAGATCTTTTCCCCCACACAATGACGTGATACACATTTCTGCCACTGGGTTAACACTTTTCCACTGATCGGTAATGCAACAAGATGCAGTAAAATGCAACTGTCTTCCACTGCTCACTGTCATTTATTGTCAAAACGGCCATTATAATTTTGCAAGTATCAGCATGTACCTGACAATCTCTGTTTATTAAAATAGTTGTGAAGTACTGTCTGAATGAATGAATGTCACCTTCAGCTTTTCCCGTTAGGGGTCGCCTCAGCGAAGCGTCACACTTACGATTTGCATGTTGGCATTTGGCACGTTTTACGCCGGATGACCTTCCTGACGCAGCCCTGACTCGAACCTGGGCAGCAGCAGCAAGAACATTGAATCCTAGCCACTAGTCTATCAAGGACCCCTAATCATCTTAAACTGAAGGTTTTAAAAACAGTGTTAATCTGGAGGGGCTACAGGAGTAGCAAAGGGGCTGACCAACATCCCTGGTTTGAACCCAGTCAAGGACCTCTGCTGCTTCTTTTTCCCCTTATCTCTCTACTGTCAGCGCTTTGATTAACACAAAATGCCTAAAACACTATAGGAAACACATGCCGGGTGTGATCCTCTTGTCCACGTGTCAGTGTCCCCAAGCATCGTCCTGAACTGAAAACTTTACCCAGTGTGTATGAATCTACATTAACTTCCCTCCTACTGTCTTTATTAAACTGTTTATTTTTCTAAACTGACACACGCAGCCTGTCTGGCTCCACTCACAGCTGGTGGGAACGCCATGACTCAAATTGTCATAGTTGAAGTCAACAGGAAGTAGCCTGACAGCTGGACACCATAAGCATCAGCAGGGGCAGATCCTGCAGCTGGATGGACGGAGAAACAGCAACAGATAAACTAAACAAACGAGATGGAGTGAGGAGGATCTCAGAGTGCTTACTGTGCACAAGTGAGCAGGACAAAGTGAAGACACATTCTCCTTACAGGTCAGCCAGCAACAGCTGCTGATCACTGTGAATGAGAGACCCCACTGAGCCAGACTCACAGCTGCACAACAGGAGGAAGCTGAAAAACAACTTTATGCAAATATGCCGTCGATGGGAGCCATCACCACTGTCTGGATTCTAGCAGGAACTAAAGCATAGAGACATTGGCTGCTCCGCTCCACCAGGACAAGGGATTTCAAAACAAAGCTCCGGCTCCCCAGTCCTCTGTGATGTAAATTACTGAGACAGAAATAACGAAGAACACAACGCCAACAGTGTTGGCGCATCTGGTGGCGGATACACCAGAAAACCAGTCCACTCAGATGGTGTAAATGATGTGCTAACTAAACACATCCGAGAACCACAGATTCAGCCAGATACCGAACACAGTCTTACCATCACCACAGCTAAGCCCTACCATTAACCCTAAAGCCACATCTTAACCCTCAGACAGCCCTGAAGAAGAAGACTGGCCAAAACACCCTCATGTTCATAAGGTGTATTCAGTTAAGACTGTTATCCGCTTAAAAACACTGTGTTTGTTGGTATTTGTGACTTTGGTGAAGATCTGATCACATTAATTCAGAAAACTAGGAGCTTGGAGACGGTGCCATTTAGTTGTAAACATCCCCGCATAGCTAGTCTATATCTGTGAAGCCGCTGCTGCAACACTGTGATTTCCCTCTGGAATTAATAACGTGCTCCTTGTATCATATTTCTTCCTCAGCCTCGGTTATTTCGTAACCTACAGTGTGTGTGTTTTTACAGATACCAGTGGCTCCCAGCGGTCCATAATCAGTTACAAGCCATACGACACACATTTACAATTTTAAATACACTATGTGCATATAGCTGTACAAGTACACACAAACACAGCGCTGCAATGTCGTTGTGTGTCAGACAGGAAGTGCAGCGTCACACTGGTTGGTGGCCACTCTGCTGTGGCTGATATTATAGCTTGCTGCCTGTTTGTACAGCAACACACTGACAGACACACACACACACACACACACACACACGGCTTAAGAAACAGCTCCAGCTCTGAACCTTGCCTGGTCCTCCACAGCTGCTACAACTACACAAATGTAAACCATCTACACAACTGGTTAGACCAACATTACACACTTTGACACGCAATTGCACAGTTTCATGTTGTCACAAACAGTGACCAACACTGTTTCTTCCCTGCAGGCTGAAGACCAAACAGCTGGGTGTGATTTTGAACTGAAACCAGACTCAGGAGGTTTTTCCACACACAGTCACAGCTGGATGTTCAGTAGCAGGCAACCTGACCCCAGATCACCGGGCGCTGGGAACCGACGATGGGCAATTCTTGATATCTGTGATCCCTTCCCTTCGTAGACAAAGCAACTGATCGATTCATTAAATAGAATAAAATCAAATCACCAGCTTCATCAATAACAAAAACAATTATTTGTTGCAACTTCTATGCTCAAACACAGGAAAGCAAATGAGTTCAGTGTTTTGTAGCAACTTTTCCAGTTGAAGAGACTTTGTGTGGGAAACCCAAAAGACCAGACTCTGTTGATTACAGCTGTGATGAAGTACAGAAGCACTGTGTAACAAGTTAAAGGATAAGGTTGATCATTTTCTACGTTAATAGTAGACAGAGACCAAAACCAACAGTGAGCTGCCTCTGCTCACCGTTAATGTCTGTCGGTCTTGGATCAGCTTGTTTGTCTGTGACATAGGTTTCCACTGTTGTTCAAAAAGGGGGGTCCATGACATTCCCTCATTACAAAACACAAGACCCTGATATTTGTTAGAAATGTTGCCCCAAAGGGTCCGACCCACCATAACATGTTAAAGCATATGAAGTCAGCAAGAGTCAGACCAATTCAGGTTTATTTGTACAGCAAAGTGTCTCGGGACACTTTACAAAGTACACTCTAGACCATCCTATTATTATTAATTGTTATTATTATCATTATTATTATTATTATAGACAGCAGTGCAGGGGCTAGATCTCTAGATATTTTTAAATGTCAAAAACAACCCGTCAGGATCAGGTATTGTCACAGACCCACATAGTTAATTGGTTACATGTTGTCCCTGGTCACTGACAAACGAGGTCAGTGTTGAGGTGAGGCACAACACCTGAACTTCCTTCAGTTGTCACCCTCTGTAACTACGCTTTATCTATGCCTGAAATTTGTCTTGGGTTTCTTTGCCACACCACATGTGTAACAGTAGACGGTGAATGGAGAAGGGAAAAGCCCAGAATAGATGCCCCGGTGGAAACACTCAGTTTGAGCTGTCTAAAAATGAAGCTCACCCTGACGGAGCCTGAGGAGGGCTCTGCCTTCAGCATCAGGTGTCAGCTTTACGGTGTGCTGGGAACCGAACGCCTAGAGCGCAGCTCACAAGGCTTTCATTTTGTTTGACATGAATGGCTGTTTTTAGAGGCTGTAACACTGGTGAATGAGTTCCTGAGGTACCCTTAAGGTACTTTCAGTGTACTTTTATATTCTGACCTGAACTTAATCCTCACATGTGCATTAATTAAACAGGATTCATAAAGTGTCATTTATTCTCTGCTCTCATTGTGGGCAGTGGACTATAGTTTTCATAGTTTTCCATTTATCTAATGATAGTTTTCTATTTTTCTGAGATTATCACTGTGCATTCATTTAAATAAAACAAATAACACACCACCTGATCCATCAGGTCTGAAGTCCAGTGTTCTCATGACGCTTGCCAGAGTTGATTTATATTTTAGAGTGCATCAACCCATGTGTGTGTTTAATTAATCTCTTTGCATGCATTTTTACATCAGTACACCATATTTACTTTACTTAACTAACATTGTTCAGTTTCTCCATACTGAGATTGTATTATAGCCACCTCTGATTAATCTGTATATAGCACACCTACTGCATGTGGCGCACACTGTAAAGATGGCTAAAACCGTGCAGCTCTGAAATGATCAATTGATTAATCAAGTATTTAATTAATAGAGGATTCTCAAAAAGTGGTTGTCATGTTCTTCTTCTGTGACAGTAAGGTGAGTACCTCGGGGTTTTGGTCCGCTCGGGCTCATGGAAATGACAGGTGTTTTTTACATAGACCAAATGATCAATCCTTTAATTTATCTGAAAATAACTGGCTGATTAATCTATAATGAAAATAATCACTAGCCCCAGCTGCTTTTGAGCTGTAATGAAACATCGATCAGCTCTGTGTGTCTGAGGGTGTACGCAGAGGCAGGATGTTTCTGCAGTCATGGGTTCAGTCCTAATCTGTCACCATGAAGAGCTTTTTTCCTGTTTTAACGGTCTCATTTCCTCAAATGTTTCATGACCACGATGAAGTCAAACACGTCCGCCACGCTCTACTTAAAAATCTTCTGTAATTTTTAGAGCTCAGTTATTACCACAAAGCAACGTGTGAAGTGAAGCCACACGTGGCCCGACAACGAGCTTTCAAAATGGCAACAGCAATGTTTTATACTATACAGCACAGCGTATGGTTTTGTTTTGAGCCAAAAACAGCAGATACATACCACTGACATTGCTCTGGCCACCCTCTGGCTGGCAACATCTCCCCAGAAGTCTCCCATAGCTGCTGTGTCCAAAACTCAGCCGACTGTGCCAAACTTCCCCTCCTCAGTTTCCGAAAATCACTCAGTGAAAATAGACAATGTTCAAAGCAAAAGAAAAACTTCTTGGTAGTGAACTCCCAACCATTTAAGAAATTAAGGAAGAGAGGAATTTGGAAGCTCCGGGCGTGTAGCTCTCGTACTAACTGCCTTTCAGCAGTCGCACATGGTTGTGCAAGTCATTCAGGTTCAGTAAATCAATACAGATGCCGTACTGCCAGCTGAGCTCCAGCTATGAGCCACGTATTTATAGCCAGGCGAGCTGCTTCACTGAGCGCCTGTAAGAGCAGCCACTGACCCCGGATGTCTGCAAACACAGCAAGAAAAAAAAGAAAAACGCACACCACAAGAGGCAGGGCGTCTGTGTCACATCCACGTTCATGAGCAGGAAAAGACAAGAGGAGAAACTGAAACCAGCCTCAATAGTTTTAATAAGCAACACTTCCCCTGCTTCGTAGAGACTTCTGGAAATGTAAAGCTGCTCCAGCCAGACTGCCACTGGTATGTCAAGCCTGGACTATTAAGCCCCAAGTCAAGACCAGCAAATCTCAAGTCAAAAAATAAACAAGTCTCCTCACTCAGACCTCCCAAAATGTGCAGCATCTCCTCTCAGACTGATTCATTGTGTCATATCATAAACTCCAAAATGTTTTGTCATCGATCAAATCTGAGCTAATAAGTCCTGAGTCAAGTCACAAGGCTAACAACTCTCAAGTCAAACTCCAACAAATCCCAAGTCAAAACTGCACTTAAGGCCCACAAGTTCCAAGTCAAGACCAACTCAAAAGGCCCAGTTCCAAGGCAAAATACTCCCAAGTTTATAGCTACAACAACTAGTCCTGAATGTGCTTCTAGGCCTAAACAAGTCGATAAGCACTCATCACCAGGTTTAGTGCCATCTTACATTTTCAAAAACAAATGTGTGCCACATTTTAATCCTCCATCTCTTATGGTTTGGAATGAATCACTTCAGTATAAACAGGAGGAATGAATAGACACCAATGACACTTCCATCCATCCATTAACTATACCGCTTATCCTGAAGAGACAGACACCACTGCACATGAAGGGTCATGGTGTTCTGTAAGTGTTGGAAATATGTCAATGTCATATATCTGCTCTCTGCAAGTATTAAATAATGAAGGAAAGTTTCAGTCATGACTCTTATCAAGGCAAATGTTTGGGGAAAAAGTGTTTCAAGGCTGATTTCATGCATACTTTTGCTAAAGTAGGTCACTGTTCACAACAGTAACAGTAGATTTGTGCAATCTGCTGCAGAGTTCAGTGCAACAAGACAAGAAATCAGACATTTAGAGGGTCCAGTATCTTTAGTACAACATGTGGAAACTTTCTCATCTGGTTTGATGGTATTAGTACAAATAAACTCAAAACCACACCCAGGGGCAAAACAGCCAAACCTCAAACTGAGGCAAGTTCTCAAAACCCACAGAAGTGAGACCAAACATAGCAACAACCTGAAGAGGAAGAAAACATCTGCTTACAGAAGTGTTTCATTACATCTGATGTACAGAACCAAAATATCAGATTTAAAACAAACACTACCAGACCCATGCCATCTAAAATCTATTTAGATGACACCAAATGATTTCAAGTTGGAGAAAGTTCTTTAAAGTCACAGGGAAACAAAAGTATCAGCATCTTTAGCTTCTGTAATGTGACATATTTGGGTCAAACTATAAAACTCTTGATATACAGTAACCTAGGGCTGGAGTTTAACAGTGACTTTCATTATCAATCTGCTGAGAATTCTCTTGGTCTAAAAAATCTCTAACTTGTGAAAATGCTCACTGAGCTCAAGGTGACATCTCCAAATATCTTGTTTTCTCTGGGCAGCAGCACAAACCTCAAACATCTTCAATGTAATCATCAGAAACTCCACTGCAACGCATTGTCATAGTAACAGAACACTTACAATGGTATGTTTTAATACCGTTGTTTAGTTCAGCATACAAGTGTGTCAGCAGCGGTTAATTCAAAGAATGTCTGGTGTCCAACTTGCTTAGTAGAAAGAGAAACAAAACCAAAGCATCAATGACTTGTAATATCTCAAACTAATCCTCACACGAAGCAGCTTCCTGTGGGGACCTTTATTTTGAAAGGCCCGATTCATTCTGCTGGAGCAGGTGGTTTAACGTCACAGTTTGGCTAAAAGTTCAAACACTGTACAAAATACTTGTGTAAGATTTTATATATAAGGTCACAATTCATTCTGATTGGTCCATCTGTGGGGACAATAATGAGGAAGAGGGAAACAGGAAGCAGGGTGTGGAGCTGGATGAGGTTTAGTGTAGGGCTCGAAGGCACTCCAGCAGGAAGGGGAAGGCCTGAACTGCACACAGTGCAAAACAAAAACTAAAATCCACAGAAAATGGTGAGAAGGTGGTTTTATGGGTGATGGTAGGTCAGAGAGGGCCACAGAGGGCCTCAAGGGCCCGTTTTCAAATTTACTGAAATAATGCAAGTGTAATGAAAACTAATTTGTAACTATTTATTTCAATAACTGATTATTCATCTCAGTCATTCTTAAAGTATTTGCTGGTTCTCAAATGTGAAAATTCACAGCTTTTCTGTATCATTTGTTAGTAAATTAACTGCAACTTATTACTAATCAGTCTGTTGATTATTTCATCAATTAATCATTTTGTCTATGAACTTCAGGAAACAGTGCAAAATGCCCAGCACCATACTGATATGCTGTTTCGTCAGAGAACAGTCCAAAGATGTTTAGTTTATACCGACATAAAACAAAGAACAGCAGGAAATCCTCAGGCTGGAGAAGCTCAAGTCAGAACATTTCGCAGGCCCTTCATGAAGAAGGACTTCATGTTTAACCAGTTATCACAACAGTTTTCTATCAGGTGACTAATCAGTTGAGTGACTAATCTTAGCACTAAACATGACACGACACGAGCTCTCAGGCTGTTCTCACTCCCAGACCGTCAAGTGCTAATGCTCTGTCAAGGACCTCTGGCATCACTAGACGCTAAAGTGTACCTGCCATGATTTAGTTAGAATCTTTATTCACCAAGTACCAAATGTACTAGGAATTTGTCTTGGTGCAGACATCTACACAATGTAAATGTAGTGGCACTGACTAAGTACACACAGCCATCTACGAGTCCAATCACCCCTCAGAAACATTAAAGCTTCACTCTGTCCTTAGGTGCAGCCCTGTTCTAAATATTTCATTTGAGAGGCTGCAACCAATGTATAATAAAACAGATTAACTGATTGGTATGGGTGTGACAAGGTCATTGAAACAGGACAATATTTCTCCTTCAGGGAAAAGCTGTCTCGCGATATCTTATGCAACTCCCTGCTCTGTTATAACGCATGGGGCTGCATTGGTCGGGGCTGGGAAGAGTCGACATGAGTGCTTTCATTCACGTTTGCAGCCCGTGAGTGCTCGCTGTGTTTTGGTTAACCATGCTGCTAATGTAGCGACTCTACCTTAGCACCAATTCTACCACCAGTGTGTCAGCAATGATAGATAAAAACATCATTTAACATCTAGTACTAGCCAAAATGCATGATGTGTAGTTATGGTGCATTAACTGTGGCCCAGATTCGACAGTGAATAGCAACGGATGCTCATGCTAAGGCAGGGGTGCCCAATACGTCGATCGCGATCGACCGGTCGATCGCAAAGGTAGTGTTGGTAGATCGTGTGCCATTCAAAAATAAATTAGATGTATCCGGTGTAAAACACGTGCCAAATGTTAACATGCGAATGGTCAGTGTGACGATTCGCTATGGCGACCCCTAACAGGAAAAGCAGAAAGTGACAATCAAGGTCAAAGTGTTTGTCATATGCACAGTTAGGAAACGTGTTTCCCTGTACAATAAAACTCTTACTTTGCCATCCACATGAATGCCACAAAATACAAATGAAATATAAAGTAGATAAATAAATAACACAAAATCTAAGGCACTTTAAGCAGCGCAGATGCAGCAATATAGTAGGAAAAAAAATACAAGAATATAATGTATGCTGCATGGGAGCAGCATGTGCAGCAGTCAACAGTCATCATGCAATTATGCATGTGCAAACAGAATGTAAACAGTACATGACATATTTCCTGGTAATAAACTCCTCAGCTGTTTAGGAGTCTGATGGCAGAGGGAAAGAAAGTTTTTCAGTCTAGTGGTCCTACATTTCACACTTCTGAACCTCCGGCCAGAGGGTAGGGAAGTGAACAGTCCGTGCTGGGGGTGGGTGGGATCTTTCATATATAGCCTATCATCCATCCTCCCAATGGCATTTGCTACTTGATTGACATGCAGGGCAGCCAGTCTGAGATCTCGTCTTTTCTGACACACGAGTCACCAAACATGCACAGTCAATGCATGAGCTACTGCAAAACTCCATTGAGTGAACTCCCTTGTCAGCCTTCAAATTAAAGGGTATAAAATGAGTGGGGGAGCCGAATCAAGTAAGAAATCAAAAACGTACCGAAAACATTCCACGTGGAATGGGAGGACTTTTTTTCCGTGACGTTATATTCGGAATGCATTTGCATGATCTACCAATCTACCATCACTATTCCGAAGAAGGGAAATGTGGAGCGGCACGTTCAGACTGTTCATAAAAACTATGACACTCATTCATACATATATTTTGTGTGTGTGTGTGTGCGCGCGCGCGTGTAGGTCAATCATTTTGACTTGGTCATTTGAAAAGTATCTCGCAAGGCGAAAAAGTGTGGGCACCCCTGTGCTAAAGTAAACAAAAGAGTCTTCTTCCTGTGGGCATCTACGTCCCGATTGTCCCCATACACAATTAGTCGATGCAGCGCCTTTGCCGGATGATGTCAACCCTGCAGTGCAGTGAGGGTGAAAACAACACAGAAGGTGACACACAGTTTGTGCACAGTTCATCATTGAAGATATCTTAAAAATAGTGTTAAAATATCTCGTCTCGTGAGCTAAGGGCATCGTCATGCCTCTACTGACTGGTCTACACAAAATGAATTGCACAAATTTTAGCTCGAGTCTGGACACAGAACTGCTGAGAGTGATGTGACAGCACTCTCTGTTGCAGCTATTAAAAGAGCTAAATATTATTCAAATACCCCCACACACTATTCTGTAGTCATAACAAAGCCAGATTTGCTTGCAGGACTCCACACAATCTAGAGACCTCAATCCGGTGTGTGCCGTCACTGCCATATTAGGAAGACCAGCTGAGAGAAGCCACATCTGGACTGCAGCCGTGTTACTGAACACACCAAGGACTGTGGGAAAACTCACACCATC